TGGAATTAACTGTCTTTCCTTAGATAGAAAACTTTGAATCAATCTGACTGGATGATCTGGTGAACTGAAAAGTGCCTTGAGATGACATGTGTTGTGAATTGGTACTATATAAATAAACTGAATTGAATTCTTTTCTTTTTATGGTTACATTTATTTTAAAGGGTTTAAGATTATAAGATAATTGTGAAAGCAGTCTTTTACTGCTTGGAATTATTATTTCCAGATCGTGATTTTAACTAATAATCCCTTTTTTTTTTAGCTTAAATATAAATAACTTATTATTTTACTATGTGGGATTCGGATTAGTAGCTCTTTAATTTGTACATTTGTAAGGTAACTCTGTATTCTGCTTGTAAAACCAAGTTTCAATCTTGTAGATGGCCCTGGAGGAGCTCAGTCACCCACGGCAGAGGGGCCTCCCGCACCACCAGAGAGCTCAGAGGAGAAAAATGGATCGTAGAACCTTGCTTGTTTAACTCCCTGAAGACAATGCAGAGATCAACTTAAAAAATGGGGAAGAAGCAAGGCAGGGAACGACCTGTGGAAGAATGAGCAGAGTTTGTCTGCATCTCCTTCGTTGTGGAGCAGCAGTAGCTCAGCGGGACACAGAGACACCGGGGGAGAGGAACCCAAGAGAGGACTGAAGACTGGAGCTTAAGACTGTTCAACACTTTGCACTATATGAGAAGATTCTGATGACACTTGGTTCCGAGTCTGTTGGTGTTTATCTGTGCAAAGGTGGTGCATACAACCACTGAGAAGACAATGCGGTTAATCAAAGGGATTGTAAAAGATTGCCCTCTGTACATTACTATTTTTCTATGTTTTATTTAAATCAAGGAACTCGTAGATATAATTTTTCCTGCTTTTGCTTTTTTTTCCCTTTTCACTACAGTCTACAGGTTGGAAACTTTTTACCCCATCGGCACAAACTAATACATAACTTCAGTGAATTATGAAACTTTTTTCTGGTCTAGCTTTAACCCTAAATCTGAAATTTTGTCTATATGTATTCAAATCTAAAGCTAGGCTGTGCTATAGTTGTTAAGTTCTTCCAGTTAGACTTTTCATTTATTTCATAAATTTTTGCTGTTTAATTAATTGGAGCAAATAGTGTGGTTTCCACACTTTGAGACATTCCTCTACAGAACAGTGTTCTGTTGCCAGTTATGCCCAATACCGTTTTATGACATAGCTGATAGTTTGAGTTATTTACATTTCTTTATAGTTTTGATGATGGCTGCTGACTTTTCTAAATCTCTGAAAGTTTGTGCCTAGAGGTGGTTAAGCTATAAAGTACTGTTATCTTCTAACTATGGGGTACTAATATTTCCTCAGATGTAACTAGAGGTCCATCTTCACTACTGTTAGGAAACCTGTTCTGTAAAGCCGCTCATTTTGTCTCGACTAAAGCATATCCCTGTACAAACATTTCACACTGGGAGCACGGCAGCACGCCTCGCCACCCAGAGGAGAGTCTGCCTGTGTTCATCAACACCGAAGTGGAGCTGTGAATTGGCTGTAGGGCTGTGCTAGAACAGACAGAGTCCTGCCACGTCAGTTAACCGCTCAGTGCTCTTGTACTGTATATAAACTGTACTGAAGTATAACTCACATGTCATACCTTGTGGTTACCAGACTGTACCTGCATAACTTACCTACAAAGAAATGCTGTTTTGAAATTGTCTCTATTGGATAAATGTTGTCGGTGACTGTCTTTGTATGGATGTGATCTCACGATTGCAACAAGTGAAAACCTTGTGCGTTGCTCTTTTTCAGAAGCTGTAATCCCAACATGATTGTTTTCATAAAGCCGTCTGACCCACACCATAGATTAGGGGTGTATTTTCTAGTGTCCTGATCTCTTCAGTGGTGCAGATGTTTCACTTAGCTGGCCTGAATCTATAATGTTGATTCTATCTGGTTGTGAAAATTGCCATATTAAACTCACAAGCTTTACATATTCCTCTGTGTGGAAAGCCATTTGTACAGTGGGATTTTATAACTTTGCAAACCCTCTTTTATCATCTGATTTCTGACAGCGTTGAAGTACCCACGACGTTTAGTATTTAAAGCACTTTTTCTGTGGTTTCACTATATATGTCTTTTTCCAAACATTTTTCTTGTTATTTTGTGTTTCTTTTTCTGCTCTAAGACAAGTCACAGCACAATGATAGCTTCCCAATCCCCTCATTCGACTGTTAATAGTCCGTAAGAGTCAGTCATAAATTGAGTTTTGTCACTATTTAAAATAAAAGCTTTGCTTTCTGAGTCAAGAAAAAACCATCACATTTAAAAGTTCTAAAATTAGAATGAAAGGCAGATCTTTAACTCCTTTACTATAAAACCAGCTCCTTCTATTTTCTTAGGTCAAATTTTGAGACTTAAACCTTCCTTTGTAATAAAGCTTATAATTTAATCATTGTTGTCTCTCTTGCATTTGTATAATTATTATCTCTCATGCATTTTAGGTCACATATATGATTTGATCAAAGTGAATACAACATTTAGGCATATACAATAAAATGTCTTTAAAATGCATTAATGTTGAATTTACATGAGAAAAACTAAAGAATGAGATGAACAGAAACATTTAATCTGTCAAGGAAAGAACTCAATGTATTTATATAGTAAAAATAACATGCAAAAGGTCAGAGAGAGCTTCAAATTATGAATTTAGTATGACAAACTTATTTGGCACCAACTGCTGATTGACTATTTCCACCACAGTGATCTGTTGCGTTTACAGAGTAGGGTCATAGAATAAGCAACTGAGTAAATGAAAACAACGAGTGGTGCCCGACTTTACATGAGTGAATAAAGTGAATGTGATTGGTCGATTATCAATAGGGCAGGATTGTTGTGGCGGAAAGTTTGCAAGCAAGTTTGATTGCAGCCGGTTTTTTGGAAGCATCTTGCTAACCAGTTAGCAACTTAGTGCTGGTAGGTTCCCAATGGGAAATTCCATTGGGACCAAGTAGCACTAAATTGGTGATTTAGAAACAACACTGTCAAGGAACGCTATGGACAGAGGAAACATGCAATAGGAGGAGAGTTTAGTGTCGGAGGTCGTAGATGAGTCTCCTCCGTCATCCATTTTTTATTTAGAGGAGGAAAGCGGGGACGAAGATGTGGAAGAGGACGCCAGGGCGGCAGAAGCTTGGTTTGGTGTAGAAGGCTTCCAGCCGTACATGTTTGAGCCCTTGCCTCGCAACGCTGCCAGTTCTGTTAGCTCTACGCCTGCTGAAGACACAGACGTCCATCCCCGTGAACACTGGGACGGAACTCAATGGGAAAGAAAATTATTCTGATTTCAACCATTGCGTTTATTAGCTGCGACATATGAATTAAGATGCTATGACCGGAAGAATTTACTGACAGATGACTGTTGATATATGATTGGCCGAATTTAGGTGTTCAGGCTGACGTAAAACTAACTGGCCTATATAAGATAATGAGAAAACCCCCCCACAGATTTTAAGTATTTTAAGTATTAGTATATGATAAAGAATACATTTATATACATATTTAAGCCAGAAGGGATTTGACATTTAAATGAAATTTCTCCACAACTTAAAGGAAGACTGGATACAGCAGAAGGTGTTACACTGGAAATCCGTCAGAAGAACAAGAACAAAAAGGTGAAGCTACGATTGACACAGAGTCCCCAAAATTGGACATTAAATGAAATGTACAATTTTTGGGGGGGAAAGAGTCATAACTGGACAAAGACAAAGTTGAGGAGTATTACATAACACTTCAGACACTCAACGATGCAACATTAACACAGCGGGAGTCAAATGTGCTATTGACAACTTAAAAGCTCATTTTTTTCGCCCCTGGGGACCAACTGATTTTCCTTTCAGTGGTGCTCACCATGTCCAAACTTTCATGACCACAATGCTTTGGAAGATGCTTCCAAAAGGTTTATGTAAGCTCAGTTTTAGGTAAAGCTGTTATTAAAGCCACTTTTTTTCTGATAAAACCATTTTGTTTAGTATCACTATGTGTTTAACAAACAAACTACAGGTCAACCAGATGTGAAGCCCGGGAAACATTTTTTATTGTCAGCAACACACAATTCTACACTCTTGCATTGTAGAACGCTTTTCTATCCCGGTTTTTACGGGTACCATTTAAGTGCACCCCAGAATCCCAACTAGAGCCTGATAGAGAATCTCTAAGAGGAGCCAACGATAAACACTAGTAAATACATGTATAAAATGTGTTCAAACATAGTTTTCTATTTTTCTTTTTTTTATTTTAGCATATTTTATCATTTTTTTTCATCAAAAACAAACTTAAATACATTTTCTGTCCAAATCTTCCCATAATAATGTGGGACTTTATTGTATGTTGCCTTTGTTTTGTGGTACAGACATGTTAAAGCTTTATGAAAACAGTATAGTGTTTAGCTATTCTTTCAAACAGCTTTTCAACATTCATTAAAAAAACATGTTAGTAGTTTAACAACCTATAGAAAAGCTGCCTCTGCTATAGAAGTCATGACTGACAAGTTGGACAAAAAACACTTTGAACTTGTGACATACTCAGGAGTATTACAATTTTTAAATGGTATCTTATATATATATATATATATATATATATATATATATATATATATATATATATATATATATATATATATATATATATATAGCAGGGCTGGATGTTAACCATTGCCCGATCTCCCAGGGCAAGTAGTTTTTATTGTCGGGAGAGTACAAATTTCATTGCATTTGCCCGCCGGGCAAGTGCAATGATCGCAAAAAAAAAAACTATCACTCAAAATTACTTTAAAATCATCAGCATTCGATGAAAACGATCCAGAAGCATTGCCGGCGCCATTTTTGTTGTTTTTGTTTGTTGCGTGATTTTCCGCCAGATAGCGTGATTTTTGTCCGGGAATTTGGCGCGAATCAGACACATTTTTTTCGACTTGGCAGGCTAAAAAACAACAAGGCAAAAAAATGTAAGTAGAGTAACACACCCACCACCTATTTTACCCTCCACCCATTTCACCCACCACCCAGATAACCCTAGATTAAAAAATATCGGTCAGGGATTATGAAAATTGTCATAATTGTACAGTATGCCATGCGCACAGTGTAAATATGGCTATCATATGGCAGTCTTCTGTACAGTGATGCAGGTCATACATTAAAAAATGTTCATTAAATTTTTTTCTCTTAGACATTGGAGAGGTGCATTTAAATGTTATAGAGCTAAACATGTTAAATTGGTGACCTGTTATGTTATTATTATTGTTTTGTTGCTACATTTATTTTGTCAGGGAAAACTAATCCTTATAAAAACAATTTCGTCAGATATATTATATCGCTCCAGGCGG